ACAGTGTGATGAGCTAGACTCGTGAAAAATACATGATTTGTACTGGACCTGCTTTATAAAAACTAGAAAAAAGACGGATATTTACACAAATGAATCATTTTTATAAGTATTTTATACATAAAAACAGCATAAAGGTTGTAAGTCTTCAACGATGCTAGCAGATCTGTCACACTCTATTTAGGCACAAAGGTGCTTTGAACTAAATGCTAATGTTGACATGCTAACATGGCCGTCGTCATGATGCTAACATGCTAATTTTTAGCAGGTGTAGTGTTTAGTTTTTCAGCCCACTCAGCTTAAAATGTTAGCATGCTAACATGTGCTAATTAACACAAAAGTACAGCTGAGGCTGATGTGTGTCACTAGTTTGACAGGTCATAAAGCAAAGCACTGGACAAAATTTAATTGTGATAAATGATTACAGTGCTAGCAGTAGCTGTCCCTGGTAGGCTAGTGGTTAAAGCGCAGTGCTCTCACTGCTGCGCCCCGGGTTTGAATCAGGGTTGCTTCATGAAGGGCATCCGGTGTAAAACACGTGCCAAATGTCAACATGCAAGTCGTCAGTGTGATGATTCTCGGTGGGGGACCCCTAAATGGGAAAAGCTGAAAGTGTCTTTCAAATTAAAATGATAGCAGTAAATGACTGTCATATACTGTAATGAATCATCCTTTCCTTTACATATTGAGGGTTACTGAGAATACTCTGGTGTAAAGTATTGTAATGACCCCCGGCGTGGAGGAGAGAGACTACCTATACTTTGAGCAGCTAAACTAGCTAGCAGGGCGCTAGCACCTATGCTGTCAATTAGTGCCTAGTCCAGGTCCCATACACCGCATGACTCTGGGTAGCACTTGGGCGTGTCCTTCATAATGACTAACATGCAACTCTGTCTTTCTGGTCATTTATTTAGAACACAGAACCAAACTCACACATCACATTCCCAACAGGGTCAGTTTTACACATACAGCTTAGACTTACGGTTCAACAACACAGCACTCAACCAGCTAGCAAAACATTAACACATACAAGTCATCAAGATAAACACAACAGGGTAACACATTAGAACATTTTAACACACTTTAACAACTGTTCTCTGAACTCATCATTGAACTCCCATGATGCCCCCCATGCATCATGTCGCTGCCACCAGACCCCTCCCCAATAGCCGACGTAGGTCGCCACAGTATTAAATGTACAATTTGCTGTGTACTGTGGGCCTCATTATGACTGACCTGTGAAAGTATTTGTTAAAATCCATGTTGCAGTTTCACTGTAGAGGAGCAGCCGTTTCACTCACAATTACACACCAGTTGTTTACAAGAATGTACTTGAGGCTTGGTATAGTTTGTGTTTGTTTTAAAGATATAACAGAAGCAGATCATACAGCCGTCATCATGTGCAAGCAGGCTACACAGTATCGGCAAAATCACCTCTGAGACTGTGGCTGAAAGGAGTCTGAATGTGGATTATTTAGTGGTCATATACACAGTAATTACTGTGCAGGCCTAATAACAGGTTAGAGGCCCTTTACTTAAGCCTGCTCCTCCCCGCACATGTTCACAAAATAGCAAATACTCCTCAACACCCATGATCAACAACAGCAATAGGTGTGTGCATTGTGTTCCAGGTGTAGCCTCCCTCCACCCTGTTTGCCTTGTCAAATACACTCGGTGTCCTACAGGGTTCTGCAGAACAGGACATGGTGTCCTGGTCATGGCTGGTGGTGGCTGGACTCTCGCTGTCAGGGTGTGCGGCTGGCATCACTGGTCCTGCTGGGAGGCCTGCTATCCTAGTAACACCAGCACTCAGTGGAAAAAGTGCAAAGAATGAATCAAAGGTCAGAGTGTTTATTTGTCATACGCACAGTTAGGAAATGTATTTCCCAGTACAATGAAATTCTTACTTTGCCGTCCACACGAATGCCACAAAATACAAGTGAAGTATAAAGTAGATGAGTAGTAACACAAATCTAAACAGGCAGTAAAATCACAAATCTAAGGCACTTTAAAGCAGCAAGGGAAAGAAGCACAGTAAAAATACAACAATGCAGAGAGAATATATGCTACGTGGGAGCTGTGGAGTGTAAATACTCAGCAGTGAGTGTGCAATTGTGCATGTGCAAAATGAGTATGTAAACAGTACAGATGGAATTACATGAGGTAGATCCTGAGTCAGCTGTTTAGGAGACGTTATAGCTAAGATTTATCATATTTGTCAGTCTGGGTACAGCTGTGTGTTGGTCTGAAGGCATGAGTGATGGGTCAGTAGTAAACGAGACTATTAGTTGCTGCATTTCTCCCCTCCCTTCATTAAAAAAGTCTTTTTTTTTTACCAGTGATTGAAGTCAAAGTGAATCAAATTAGAAACTATTTGAAGCTATTATGAGGCTCCATCAGACTGAACTAGACAAACCAAGTGGCCAGGGATTAAAAATAAATTACAGCCATTAATGACTGTTTCAATGTGTACTGTGATCAGTTTATTAGGAACACCCAGCTCACACTCAGTCAGGCGAACCCAATAGCAGTAAACCCTCCTTCATGAAGGTGATAATGTTCAGTTTGAGTTCAGACTGTTTCACAGAGGCGTTGGTTCACCTGAAAAGTGTTTATATTATTTTGTCCACTATATTTATATCCATGAGGTTAGGCTAAATAACAGATACAGCTGTCATGTACCACAAACTCCAATCAACAGTCTGAAAGCAAACTGAATATTATCATCTTCATGAAGGAGGATTTACTGTGGGCTCAGACTGACTTAGTCTGAGATGGGTGTTCCTAATAAGCTGACAGCTCTGTTTACATATACTGCATGAGATTCATGTATTAAGAAAGATTAAGAAATTGTGAGCCATTCTCTGATACCTACCAGTGGCAGTGATCTGAAATGCCACCACTCTTAGCCGTTTGGGTGTGAGACCAGATCCTAATGTGTTGTTAACACATGCCAAAAAAACGTCAGCCACACCTTCAGCCTTGCACAACTTCCCTATTCTTTTGGTCTGCACACTGTGCAAACACACCCAAACGATCCTGCACTCAGTGTTCTGCAGCCTAAGTTAATTGATGCCCTACACTAATAGCCTAAATTACACAGCCAGGCTTTGAGGGCAGAGTGGGTTGTCAACAAGTGTGGCCAGAGTGAAGCCGCGGTCCTTCACCCAGAGTGACGCTCCATCTGACTCAGCTGGACCTGTCCACCACAATCAACACGCCTGCATCTGGCCTGACTGGAACTCCACTGGTAACCTCATCACTGCTAAGAGAGAGGGGAGGGGGGCTCACCCCCCATCCACCTCTGTCCTTCCCCATCCACATCATCCAGAGAACCAGCTCAGGCTCACATGCACAGTGCAAACAAAGGCTGCACAGAATCCTGCTAGAAATGTCAAATTAAATTGCACTTTGATTTGCTACACAAAGCACCTGTGCATAATGTACAGCAGGTCACAATTCAATAGTCCAACTAAAGCCAAAGTTTAATGAAAACTGTTAGGCCCACACGTTTCACCTTGTCGCAATTGTCTCCCTGCAGTAACAAGAAACAGAGCACTCACACCTGCATGTTCTCATGTTGTTTAGGACAAATAACTAAATATAACCCTGTGTTTACCACATATGCTGTTCTTTCTGATTCAGTTTTGTATTATCTACTGCTACCTGTGATGCTACCTTTAGCTATGATCTCAATAATAAACATATAACTGACATCACACAAACCTGAAATGTTTTGAGCCTGATAAAGACAAATCCTATGCCAGGGCTGTTGTATTGGATTGCACCAAATTTTACAGGCGTACCTAATAAAGTGGCCACTGTCTGGGTGCACTGGGCTGTTTGCTCACACATCTGTCTGCAGCAGCATCAGCACAAAGCTCACGTGGAGTGTCCCACTGAGCCTCATCCCTTCAGACAGCCCCCACAGTGACTGATGTGGGCACAGGTGAGGTGCCATCCCCTCAGCTCACAGGGGCCGCTCCGCTGACTGACGATGAGACACGGCAGTCTGATGACCTGACACAGAGAAAGCTGCTGACCCCACATGTTGTCTCATGTCTGAAGGCTCCATCATCCACTGTAAACAACTGCTGAACTTGTCATTTGTCTGATCTCCATTCAGCAAAACCCAGCCGCTGACTGAGAAGCTGAGTCTCACTGTGAGCACAGAACCAGAGCTCTTTGAAGTGGCTATCACAAGGTAAACACACACCAACAGGTACGCAGCTCTCACACACTCCTGCTACAAAGCAAACATACACAGAGAAGAAGCAATAGCACCTGTGGTTTGGGAGATAATTACAGGAACATGAACAAAGGTTCAGTTTGACAAGGGAGTTGTCGTGCAGGATTAGCGCACTGCTGGAGCGAAAGCTCCTCCTGACCTCTCAGCTCTGGTTGCAGGGTCAGACTGAAGTCGCTCTAACCTCAGAGGGCTGGTGAGCTCACTCCCACTCCCACTCATAGTTACAGCACTGTTATTGCTATCTGTGCGATAACTGCCTCCCTGATGAAATAATAACATGCAGCAGTCAAGTTCAAAAGTGCAGCAGAAATGTCAAAGATTCAGTTTGCAATGAAATAACAAAACAGTGGCAGAAGAGGTATTCATCTCCTTTACACAGGTAAAACTGGTAATACCACTGTGTACAAATACTCTGTTACCAGTCCTGCATTCAAAATGTTATAAATAAAAGTACTAAAGTATCAGCATCCAAATCTACTTGAAGTACCATCAGTACCAGTACTCATCCAGCAGAACGGCCCGTGTCCCAGTAACGTCTCTGATACTGGATCATAGTGACTAATTACTGTGTCCATCACTTTAATGCTGCAGCTGGTAAAGGTGGAGCTGATGGTAACTACCTTATATACTTATACTGGGAAGTACTTTCCATCCTGCTGGGTAGCTGGTGGATTTCCTACTGGGATCAATAGAGTCTGATGGTTCTACTGGGTTTGGTTTGATTCATCTGGTTCTGGACCTGAAGGTATCAGGTACATGTAGTGTAGTAAAAAGTACACGGTTTGTCTCTGACATGGAGTCACAGGATGAAGGAGCAGGACGTGAAGTACTCATGTACATATACCTCAAGCCTGTACCAAAGTAAACTGACATGATGAAATAAATCATCATATGAACAATGTGTGTCAAATGTGTAAATAAACCAATAATTATAATTATGTTAATCAGAATTTGATCCATTTGGTCGAATATCATACAGGTTTAGTTTTTTTAAATACCCTTACCACGTGTGCAAGGAGCCAACAGGAAGCTCAACCGGAGCAGGATGCTGTTCAAGCTCTATGGGCCCACAAATGTGCATGGCTGAAACCATAAATGCCATAACAATTAGAATTTAACCACTTTGCAAATAGCTTGTTTGATCATAAATGTCTTTAAATAGTTCGCAGGCCAAACAAAACAGCTTAGGAACGGTGCAGTCGATTAAAACCTCTTCAAGAAACCTAAAACTGAGCAGCTCGTTTCAACTGATCCTCTAATCTATTTTAGATTACCTGTGAATTAATCTGGCAGTTGGTAAATGCCAGCCTCACAGTGTAAATCATGCAGAACAAAGGCAGATCTGTTTCACTAGTCTGTCTATTCATGACCTCCCCCGCACTGCTAACAAACTTTCAAATGTCCGCCTGACATAATGAGACCTGTCCCCCATGGGGAGGGATGGAAGGACCCCACAGACAAACATTAACCCAGGGCCTGACCCTGCAGCCTGTCAAGAAGATGAACGTCTGGGTCTGGAGAACAAAAAGCAGCTTTCCATTTCCAGTAAGCCAGGAAGGGGGAGGGAGGGGGATTTTGGGAAGTTTGGTGAGACATCACTTTTCTTTTCTACTGGCGCTCCCTCCTTTGGCATGGGCCTGCACAGCAGACTGCTCCGTCATGCTTTCAATGGGCCCTCTTCACTCTGACAAGCACCTCACAGTGCACGTTACCACCAGAGTCGCAGCTGTCTGCACGTCTGTCAGCATCACCAACTCTCCGGGTCCTGTCCTCTGAACCCTGGCCAGAAAACAAGACGGCGAGCATGGAACAGCAGCAGGCAGCGACTTGCACCGCTGCTGGCTCCAAGTTCGTCACTCAGGTCTGTTCCTGTGAGTTAAACAGCTTCATGTCGAATACAGTGGGAGAGATGAGTCAGTGGATATCTGCTACCATCCTGGGAATGTATTACTCGCTAACTTCACCTCATGTGACAATAACATGCTGACAGATGCTTGTAAAATGATGACCATGCTCAAATATAAGGTGCTTTTACAGCAGTTTTCAGAGCACCCCATAATGGAAAGTGCTTAACAGAGAAAACCACGCACCTTATTGCTTTTCTTTCTCCTCATATTTTTATGTCAGTGCCTTGGTGTGGTCAGTCGTTTGACCTCACAGCACTCCCCTCCGCTAACTGATCATCGATATGCCTCTGTGGTCAGGGAGTCTGCCAGTGGGGCCCCCGCACGCCGCACAAAACACCCTCAAACCTTCCATTAGGGCCCATTTAGCTGCAGAGGCACACACTGTTCAGTGCTACACACGCAGGATAGTCATCACGCTTTAATGATAGACATCACAGAGCGTGATGTCACCGGCCACAACACAAAGGCTGGCCGTCGCACTCTCCTCCCAGTTCGACCACAGAGGCCTCGGTCTTACTGGGCCCTTTGTGCCAGAGTGATGTGACACATGAGGCCTCACTGCTGCTGCTGTTGCTGCTGACTCAGGATGAGCAATCACAACAGTCGCACAAACTGGCGGCTTCACAAAGATGGCTGTTACCATTGAAATGTCACCAGGCACTTGATATAAGGCAGCGTTTGCTCTTGCAGACATCTATGGCCTGTTAGCTGTGGCAGATGGTCACACGGTTTGTGTTGTGTCTGTGCACACTCAGTTGTCAGTTTATTAGGAACACCTAGCTCAAACTAATCCAACAGTCCTCCTTCATGTGGGCACATTTACTGCAGGAATTGGTTAGTGCTAGGTGTTCCTTAGAAACTGACAAATTGCTGCATGTGGCCTGAAATGTGTGTGTGTGCTCCATGTTCACTAGTTTGGATGCTCCACATTGGCCTTATTGACTCTGTGTCACCTACAGGATCCATCTGTAGTCGTGCCAGATGTGTCCGGAGGGGTTTTGTCCATCATCGCTCATTAACACACACTGTATTCATAACAGCAGCTCTTCCTGGCTCAACTTCCTCCACCTTCTTCCAGGGTTTGTGCTTCACTGATGTTACAACAAACACACACAAAAATCCCCTTTACATGGAAACTCAATTTAAAACCATCTTATCAGTGAAAGTGAAAAATGACATCTATTTCAGTGGAAATGTTTATAACAGATTTCTCTCTCTGTACAGCTAGTCCACACACACACACACACACACACACACAGACGAGAATACACTGCTATATCTGTATTAAGGTAATAACACAATTCTGTCCCACAGCAGTTACACAAAAACTTCTTTCAGTTTCCAGTCAAGGTAAATATCTTAAACAACTTTTCTCTGAGTGTATTCCCTTGTGTATAAACACATATTTAACTAATAGACTCATCAAAGACCTTCCGTTTGAATAAAAACACCCAACAGCCTCTACTGTGATTTATGAAAAACAAATCCTTTACTTCTCCAAACCCCTGCTTGTGGTTTTCCTTCAAACGGGTGCTTTGCTAGCTGACTCAGTGGCTGAAGTACAGCGGATTTCCACTTCCACTTTGGCCCGTTCATCTGAAACGCTGCAGACAAACAGAGAGCTGGGGAAGGGGAATGTAGGGAGGAAGAGATGGAGATCTGGAAGCCATTAGAGGCTGGCAGCTGCAGCCTGCAGTGGCTGATTCAGAGCAGGAGAGAGGAAGAAAGAGACAGAGAGAGTACAGCACATGATTGCCATAATGAATTTAATATCTGTGCATGTGGAGGTCATTAATGCAGAGCCTTGTAATTTAGCAGCAGGGAACATGGAGAATGTTAAAAACAAAAATTCCAAAAGAAGTCTTTTCGTTTTACAACTTTTACTGCTCTGCCTGCATTTCCTCTAGAAAGTCATGAAGTCTTATCTGGCTGTTTAACTTCCTCAGTTAGTTATCTGTCTTTTACTTGCTTCCTCCCTCTTTTGCTGTGTGCAGCTGTGTTGGTACTACTATAGCTGTGAGGACACTCAGTGACATCTTGCATTGCACAGCCCTTTTCTCTAACCCCGACCTGACCTGAACCTGAAAACCTCAGTGTCTCTCAAAACTATGGGTTCAGGCCTTGGAGCCATGTGGTTAGCTTTTAGCGAAAATGTTAGCTTACTACCTACGGTATTAACCCGGTGTTTCTTCTAAAGGCAAGGGGCATATCATTAGCTAAGTGTTTATTTTATCATATGAGGCTATAGGTCTTGAAAAATACCTGGAGTCAGTATATCAGAGCTCACAGTAACGATTGCTGCCACTGTTACCACCATAGCGATTTTCTCGCTGGATGTCGTGAGATTTAAGACCCCTTCAAAAAAAGCAACCATTGTCAAATCTAGCAACATTTTAGCTGTCCTGCTTTTTGGTTTGGTGAAACTAAAACTTGCCAAACTGGCGTTAGCTAAGGTTGTGGTTAGCTAGCTTAAATCTGATGACTATGTTGCCCATCCAAATGTTTTTCTAAGCTTTCAAGCCATTGCACAAATTAAAGAACACTGTGTTTTTATTACACTACTCTAGCTGGGGTGCTAGTGCTAGCTCTACCCTGCATTATTTTTCCTTTATGTCCATGTCTTCATGGATCATTCACTGGAGATGGTGCCAACTTTCTACCAGGGGCATCGGCACATGTATGTAGCCATCGACTGCATATTATAAACCCACTTACAGTTTTCTCCTATAAAAATTCATCTGTTAGAATATTAAAAAGTCATCTTCTGATGACGTCTCCAACTCACTCAGGGACACACTTTCATCTGTGTAGCTAACTTGAGCTAGCCTGCTACAGCGGTTAAACTGCTGGTGACAGTTTCACAGTCCAGTGCTAGAACCGAGAGACCTGCTTTTGCTTACTCTATCTAAAATCATGGGCCCATTGTTTGAAACATTACCATCATTGTAAAGCAACAGTAAATCTGGTGCTGTTATCCTGTCTAACTGTTACAACAGGTACGCTAACAGTTAGCTGGAATAAATTCTGATCAAAGTGTTCTATGGGTACTTTAAGGGTTTCTCCTGGCCATCCAGTTTCATGGTAGTGTCAGGAGGTTAGACAGGTTTGCTGTAAACAGAAAGCAGGCTGACTCCAGTGTCCTGTTCAAGAGGCCCCCTAGTGTGAGACAGTGCCCACAGTTGGCCCCTGGGTTTTCACCCATGACTCATCCATGTGATTCACAAGGATGAAGATCGTGCGACTCACTGAAGGACTCACATATGAAAATAATGTTTGTTGATTTACATCATTTACAAGTAAGCAAACACACTCAGACTCACAATGAGGTGCATACTGTGTTTGGAGTGATGGCACCATCAGAGACTGATGTGAGGGAGTGAATATCATCTCCCCTGATGCTCAATGGGTGATTTCTTTGTCTTATAAACCCACAACAACACAAACACAACACAGATACACATTCGCACACAGTATGTTTCATGACTATCTCAACTCAAGTTACCGTGCTACATCAGCCTGGTTAACCACTTCAGCTTTATGGTGAACCACAAGCCCAGTATGTGCAGTGAACAATAATTAACACTCTCTACGACTCATCTGGTGTCTGGGTGGGGGTGGGGGGGGGGAATAAAGAGCTTGAAATAATCTTCCCTGTCAGATGAAAGTGAGCAGCATTGTTCAGTGATGTCCAACATGGAGGTCCGGGTCTGCCCCTGTGCCTGCATCTACACTTCATATACTCACTCCTAAAGCACTCTCTCCACGGCCGCTCTTGTCCTCAGCATCTCTGGTGGTCTGATATCCTCGCTGCGGTGGTCTGACTCCCGTGTGGTCCAAGGGGAGCACAGGCACTGACTGGGCTGGAGAACGCACAGGAGGAGGAGGAGCTCACCTGGCATGAGTCACTCTGCTGGCGGAGAGGGAGAGTCCTGCACGTAGGATCCTCAGAGACTGAAAACAAAGAGCCACAGTGGTAGTGATGGTGTAGACACTGGCACTCGCACTGCTGGAAGAAGTACTCCAAAACTTCACCCACATACAACTACAACACTCTAGAAATGCTCCTTTTTAAATAAGAGTCCAGCATTCAAAATCCTACTCAAGTACTGAAGTACTATTAAGGAAATAAAAGTACAGCCTGTGACTGATATCACCATCATACAGTACATTACATTATCATTTCTATGTTTATCTGCTGGTGACTACTTTATACATCAGTGGAACCACTGAGGAGTCATGACATGAAGACAGGAAATGAAAACTAAAAGTTCTCTACAAAATAGTTTGTTTTTGTTGTTGTTTCTCTTCAATCTTTACTTTTGTGAAAGACTGTGCATTTGAACCTATTACTTATATGAATACTCTGCTATTGTATTGCATTTTAAAACCGTATCCTAATATTTTAATGAGAATTTTAAACTTGAAAAGTAACTTTCAGGTATATGTAGAGCAGTAAAAAGCACAATATTACACCTCTGAAATGTAGTGAAGTGCAGGTATAAAGTAGCATAAAATGGAAATACTCTTGTAAAGTACAAGTACCTCAAAACTGTACTCAAGTATTGTATTCAGTAATGAAGTAAATGCACTTCCTCCAGTGGATACTGCTGAAGAGTACTACCAAGGCACAAGTTTTAGAATAATAAACTCCAGTGTGCTGTAAAAACCTATTTGTCAAAACTTGCTGCAGATAATTAATCTTGCAGTGATGATTCTGAAACCCAGAGAACCAGCAGCTGAACAGCAGCAGGAAATCTGTTATTTCTGACAGCAAACCTTTGAGGAACACTTTAGCTTTTTGGTAACACCTGCTCATATTTCATGAATTTACTGTTTCCAAACAGTCCCTTCTTATAACTACATTACCTCACGATGGAAAAAACCTGTAGAAAAATGAATAAGGGAGACACACACGATGGTCGACACAGGTTTCAAGTCTCTGCTGCTTGATTTGCATATACTGCACTGGCACGATCTGAAACTAGTAGCTTTCTGGAAGGTAGGAAAAGGTTTATCTCACATAATCTGTCTCCAACAGGAAATTGGCGTCTTGTCACACTTTGACATGTGGACTGCAGGCACCGAGACTCAGGTTAGAACCAGAAGAACTGTTTCTGTTGTTTTCTAATTCCATTCATTTCCTCATACACACAGTGTATGTGTGAGTTTAGCTTCTCAGTAAATACACACAACTGGCTTTAATGGGAACACTTAAAGAAGTCAGAACTGTAAAATGTTCTTTACAAACTGGAGGTTGTCTATGTGGCAGAAGGAGACCCAGATGAATATAAGGTAGGTCAGAAGTGTCAAAGTTAAAAATATGGATGCTAGTGACAGAAACAGGGTAGCAAGAGGTCACTGGGTCACACTGCATCATTTGGGATATAGGAGTGCACACACACTTTATCAGTCATTCTAGAGGGAGACAGTTTGAACACAGCCACACTTCTATAATCATACACAAGGCATCAGAGTCTCTGGATTCAGATGCCAGTTAGCGTCACGCTGACTGTGGAAGATACTGTCTAAAATAGGTACAAGGTTCAACAAACAAAACTACGTACACAAAGAATCAATATTAATGAAGACTGGACTAATTCCTCATTGAACAAAGTTCACCTGACTTCACCTCAGCTGTGAATTCCTGTGTGGGACACTGAAGGTTTAAAAAAATAAAGACATGACTTTCTTTGAGGGTTATTATTAATAGATCTTGTCTATTATCTAGAATTTAGCTAAAAATATGCTATGGTCAGATCAACCCATGATGGTTTAGGGCTGAGGA